GCTGCCCCGGCCGGGACCCCGCCTGCTCGGTGCGCGGCTGGAGGCTGGACCGGGTCTACGGGACGTGCTTCTGCGACCAAGCCTGCCGCCTCACCGGGGACTGCTGCTTCGACTACGCCAGGGCGTGTCCAGGTGGGTGGCCGGCCGGGGCGGGGCGAGGAGGACCTCAGCGCAGCAGACGGGTGTCCCAGCCCCTCCCGCTGTGGGGGGCCCCGTCCTTCCGTCCCGGGCCAACGCAGCACTCCGTCGGGTACACCCGGCTTGAGCCACCCTGGAGTGGCCCGGTCCTCTCCATCTGGATGGGCAGCGCCACCCTCCCCGCTAGAGTCCGGGCCGCGGCCCTCTGGAAGCGGGGGCGGGGGGGGGGGGTCGCCCCTGCGGGAGGAACTGCACTGAGGATTCCAGGGGAGTGACCTGGGCCGGACCCTGGTGTCCCTCCGGTCAACCCTCAGGATTCTTGTCGCTGCAGAGGGGTGATGAGGGCGGGAACCCCGATGTCCACCGTGTGCCAAGCATGCCCCAGAAGTGGCTTAGTTCAGGAGAGCAAGTTCGTGGGAGGCTGATGTTGTCCTGACCTCTGGACCCCAAAACGTAGCACAGCCAGGAGGTGTTGACCCCAGGAGGTGTTCAGGAGCTTCTTGGAATTCTTTTTATTTCTGTGAAGTGAACAGGATCTTTATCTGCAGGTCCCTCTTACTTTTTAATCGCATGGTTTTCCTTTAAGGGTCAGTCTGCGTCACTGAATTTCCCAGGGTTTCTTTCCCCTGGAGGGCTCAGTAAATGTCAGTTCAGGAAGACTTGGTAAGTATAAGACCCAAGAACCAGCTGCCACAAAGCAGCAGCTCTGGAGATGGTCCTGCTCCCTGCTAGTCATACCGCCCCCAAAGCCACACACAGGCTAGGGCTTGGGCTCAGGGATCCCAGCATGTGCCGTCTTCAGCGTGTTCCAGGAAGACAGCCCCTGGGGCTGTGCCATCTCCCGGGAGGGATGAGCCCCCGGTCCGCCTCTGTACCCCGTGAGGAGGCCGCCAGGCCCTGGCCAGGCTGGTCACGCAGGCCTGATGCTCAGACAACACAGTTGAGAAACATTAATTGGCGACCCTGGCTGACAGCTAATGCTTTACCTGTGAATAGCGATGCTCACTTACTCTTTTTGTTTATTCGCTTATTCTTTTTAACGAGCTTCTTTGCCCTTCCTGGTGTCTCACTGCTGAAGTGAGGTGGAATGGCAGCTATTTAGAAGATGCAGCGCCTTCAGCCAGGTTCCCAGCGCTCCTCACAGCACCTAACCTGCAGTTTGCCTCGGTTACCGGGACAACTCAGGGCAAGCCTCTGGCAGAGTCCCCCTGTGTCATGAGGGACGCACTGCATTTTAAAGATTATTATGGAATTTGTGTAACCCAGATCACGTGCCCAGGTCTGGGTAAACACAGGGATGGTAAGATGGTGAAGAGGCACTCTCTGCTCCTTAGGAGTTTGTGGTCAGCCAGGAACACGGGCAAGACGACGTGCAACTTGCTTGCTGACGCAGTCCCCGGACCTGCAGGGCCTATGTGCCGAGATCCCCAGTGGGTACCCGAAAGTACCGATCGCACCGAGCTCTCTCTCTTGTTTCTTCCTGTATGTGTTGCAGAGCTGTCACGTGGTGCCAGGGTTAATCTCCCAACCATGTTTTATGCCCTGATGCCTCTTTTGCATCATTAGTCTTTCACTTGGGGGGGGGGTGTTTAAAGTAAAATAATGATTTGACCACAAAACGCTGCAGTACCACGACTGCGCTCCTGATAACTGAACTCATTACTACGTGGCCAATCAGCAGGTCGTGTCTGCAGTATTGATACAATGGATGAAGGGATGACCCCTGTCCCAGGTGGGGCAAACCAGGAGATTTCATCATGCTACCCCAAGTGATATGCAGTTTAAAACTTAGGAATTATTTCTGGAATTTTCCATTCAGTGTTTTCAGACTGGTTAATTGTGTGTACGTGAAAACATGGCAAGTGAAACTGGAGGTACGGGGGAGCTTCTGCCAGGATAGGGGGTCAGCGGTGTGATCTGGGGGGAAAGCTTGAAAGACTCCAGGAAGGCAAGGAAGACTTCTCAGAGGAAGTCACGGGCAACCTGGGCCTGGGGAATGAGCCGGAGGTCTCCAGGAGAGGGGCAGGGTGGGGCGCTCCTGCAGCGAAGCCCAGGGTCACTGTCCAAGCGTCACCTGGGAGGTCAGGCTGTGTGCCGGACCCTGTGCTGGGCTCTGAGGCCAAAACAGTGAGGAGGACAGAGGGAGGACACGGCCGGATCTGGAAAGGTTCCGGGACCCAACAGGGATGGGACAAGACCAAGTGTAGTGAGAGGAACTGCTGTCTGATGAGGCCTCGCAGGCTATGACGAGCTGCAAAACCCTGGAAATCTTGATTTGCTTACAAAGAAATCCCTTGTCTTTAGTCTAGGAGGTAAAAACAGTAAAAGCCAGAGGTGCTGTTTGGACTGCGAGTGAGTGAGGGCGGAGGAGGTGAGGCGCACTCGCTGTCTCCTGGGGAGCGGAGGAGCAAACCCCAGCAAGCGCTTCCCCAGAAGCAGGGCTCTGAGTGGCGGGTGAAGGGGCCGGGGCCAGAAAAGGAAATGGTGTCTGACAGGACTCAGAAAGCGCGCACTTGGGAGCCCTACATGCACTTTCCCAGGGGGTCAGTGCAGGACCTTGTGGGCCGAGACAGAAGCAGCTCAGGGCTGAAAACACTCCTCCTGGTAAGGTCTCGGTGCCTGAAGATTCCCGTGAAGGGAAGGAGGAATAGAGCGCAGCGGAAGCCGGCCAGGAGGTGAGGCTCATGCGCCTGCGCCGGCAGAGCTGAGGGCAGAGCAAGGCCGGTGGCCCTGAGAGGCCGCCCTCCTCGGGCTGGACCAGCACGCTGCTTGGAGGCAGCCTCGCGGCCTCATCCCCTGGGCCGTGGAGTGTTGGCTGGGCAAATCTTGAAATGAAGGCTGCTATCATGTTCACAAAATTTTCCTTCCAAATACTTATTGTTCACTTGTGAGTTTTCTCCCTTGAAGCAACCCAAGTGCCTCAGTGTTGCCCTTCACGTGAGAGAATGCTAGGTTCCATCTTTGCCCCGCCCCCTGCTGGCTTTGTGACGGGTCCAGCTCATGTACAGAAGGACAGGGTAAAGCCAGCAGCCAGGAGGGTCAAGTGGGGGATGCCCGGACAGCCTGGACCTAGCACACCATGTCGGTCAGCTCTGTGGGCACCAGGGAACATTGTATTCGGTTAGGTATTTATATAATTTTATGACAACATAGTAAAATGTGTATTAACATTAAGTCATACATATCTTTCATTGTACTCCTACCATATATACATGGCTCATCTTACCAACGGTTCTGTAAGAAAAGCAGGTCTCTTCCATGCCCTACCCAGCGCAAAAACTGACAGGTCCAAAATCCAAAAAATGCTAAGGTTTAATTTTTTTTTTTCTTAACTCATTTGGTGATAACAGTCTTACCTGCCCTGAACTATAGAAAGCTGTTGATAATCTTTTTAAAAACCCCATGTCATGTAAATATATTTTGCCTCAAAAGTACTGGCATGTTTAGTAAGGGTCTGATCTAGACCTGGGGAGAAGACACTCAACACAAGAATCTACCCTGAGTGTCCGTGCTAACCTGCATCAGCACTTTTTTGTTTTGTTTTGTGGTACTGGGGAATTGAACCCAGGGGTGCTCTCCTGCTGAGCTGAGTGTCCAGCCCTTTTTACTTTGAGACAGGGTCTCAGTAAGTTTCCCCAGGTGCCCTTGAACCTGTAATCCTTCTGTCACAGACTGCCGAGGAGCCGGGACTGCAGGCATACCACTGCACCTGGCTGTATTAGCTTTTTACAGATGCTGGAGCTGAGACTTCCCAAGGGGTCCCAAAACTCAAGTTTGTGGGAATGAGCAGTAGAGCTAAGACTTTGAACCGATGCTGTCTGATTTCAAGTGGCCACCAGCCACGCTACGAACACCAACTCGTGGTTATTAAATAGTCCTGGATATATCAAGAGTCACAGTACCGCTTGTATATACTTAAGACCATTCTGTGTCTTAGAATCTCTGCTTCTTTCACAAGATTGTATCAATGTTGTTGCTGCCCAAAGCCTTTTTTTTTTGTACCGGAAATTGAATGCAGGATCTCGTGCTTGCCAGGCAGGCACTTGTGCTGCTGAGCTAAATCCCTGGCCCCAAAGTCTTTTTGACTGATGTTACATTCAATGTGAATGAAAATTGAAACTGCCTCAGTGTGATGGAGCATGCTTCACTTCTGTTCTTTCTGCTTTTTTCATCTTTTTTTTTTTTATTTTAAAGAGTAAAAGAAGGATAACAATAATGGGGGGGCTTACCAAATTACAGACAAAGTGGTAGGAAATTATCAATAGTTATTGTTTTACATATTGTTATCTACAAGATAGTTTCTCAGGAAAACAAACAGACAAATAATAGTGAATTACAGACAAAAGAGGTAGGAGATTATCAATAGTTGTTGTACTCTACTTAGGTATCTTCAAAAGAAAATAAATAGAACTATACATGAGTGACCTATTGAATAATCATTAACTATTCTCAATGGTTGTTCTAGGAAATACATAATAATAAACATGCATCCATTTATGAAATAGGATAGGAACAATACAAACATTATAGAGTTATGGATAGATTAGTAGGATAATATCAATGACTGCTGTAATACATGTTGGTATCTTCGAAGTGGTTTCTCAGGAAGACAGAGATACGCAAGAAGGATCTAACAAGTAGTAACAGCCTAAGGGTTGTCAAAAATCAAGTGAGCCATCTGGGGCGAAATCCATTTTTTGTAGCATTTTCTCTCCAGCCTCCCATCACATTGGGACCCCACAACCAGTTAGTGTCCTCTCCCCAGCTGTCAGCACAGGCAGCAGGAATCCTGCTGCAGACTTCTCCAGAGCTCCACCACAGCCTGTACTGTCAGGGGAAGAATGGCTTCCAGGGAGTCTCTGCATGTATTGTGCAAGGTCCTCCTGGTTTACAGCTTCGGAACGGCTCTCATGACCCCAGTCCACAGGACCTCTGACCCCTCGGGTTTAGTCTGCATTCCCTGGTCCTCCGAGTCCTTGTTCAGCAGCTGCTCC